CATCATATGACCCCTTTAATATCAAACCTATATAATGAGTTTGGAAATTTTAGACAAATGCTTAATAAATGAATTACACTGTAACTAAACCCATTAGATTTTTGCCGACTACATTTTCTGTAGATTTAGTCGACTAAAATCTTATGATATTTAGTCGACTAAAACTAAAAACAATTCAGGTGACTAAAATATGACTAAAACTAAGTGGCATTTTAGTCAAAAGACTATGACTAAAATTAAATCAAAATTTGCTGTCAAAATTAACACTGGGATGCACGATATCCGATATGCCGATATTTTCATATCATTTTGCCGATGCCGATACCGATATATATTTCCCTTTGTTTTGAAACACCAAGTCTCTCCTGTGCAGCGATTATGAACAAATTAGTTTTTAATTTTGGTTAGTTTTATTTGTTAGGAGTAATAAACTTTATTAAAGTAATTTTTTTAATGAGAGTACATTGAAAATAACCAATAATCAATCTCTGCTTTTTTAATCCTTTAGAGCTCCTTGTATTTATGTTTTCATAATCCATCTGAAAAATATATTACATATTACTGAATAAATCTGTATTAAATTATTAAATTTACAAGTGTCATGTTTGTGCTTTTTATTCATGTAAATACTGCGATACTGCTTTATTTATTCAGAAACACAAGTATCTTAATGATATTTGTGTTTTTTACTTTAATTTTATTACAAGTAGGCCAACAGCGCCCCCTAAGTAAATAAAACGCCTTACCGGACTGCATTAGGACCCGGGGGAGGCTGCCGCTGCTGCTACTGCACATGCTAGAAACTGTTGACTCTCTTGCACACCGGATGTCGTTCTGTACATGGATTCTCAAATTAAATGCGGCGATGCAAAACAGTGAATCTAATCATCATTCAGGCAAAAGTTCACTTCAAGAATGACCACACTGCTGACGTGATCTTATCACTATCACACCATGAGCACATGTGAGCTATCCGTCTTATCGGCAAGACATATCGGCATCTCGGCATATTTTTTTTCCAAATCGGCCAATGCCAATCTTCACATTGTAAGCCTTTATCGCCTGATTCCGATAACGTTCCGATAATATCATGCATCCCTATCTAAAATGCATTGATATTTCACTGAACAATCAACTATTTCTATGTGTTCGGTATAAAAAAGGTATTCTATAAATTTCATTAGACTTAATCTAGCACTTAATTTGTGATTAAGCGGATGAAAGAAGCTAGTTGAAAACTTTTTGAAGTAAAGGCAAAAAATAGGTAAACACAAGCATAATGATGAAATCTGTACAATAATTCTTACTTTTTTATTTCCTCACACTTACAGGTGCTAAAAACAAGAGTATCAGGCACTAACGTCAAAGAGTGCAAATGAATGGATACAGACTTTCAGTCACGCACACAGTTAAAGTGAAGCTCAGGGACTTACTGGGTCACCTCCTGTTAATTTGTCCTCATTTGTAGTCAGTGTGAAAGCTTCATCAAAGCCACAGTCCTTCTGTAATCACTCAGTCTTTCATAGCTCTTAAATATAAGATGTAGTGCTGTTGATGTAGTACATTCTCATATGATTCCAAATCTAACACTCATTCTCCCCTGACATAAGACTATCAATCCTAATATAAACATAAATCCATGGAAAAGTAGGAAGAACGAATAGTATACTTAAAAAATGCATTTACAAACACACATTCGGCAAACACAACCAGTTTATGAGATGCAAATGGACTCAGATCTGCACCAGAAGCTCGTCCTTAAGGCATCATGGTCGAGATTTTCAATATGGCAGAAATTAGAGCATGCAAAAAAAATAAAAAGTTGAAAAATGCTAATAATATCCAATTCAAAGGTGTCTAACTCTGCAGGCACTGAATAGTTGATGTCTCACAGAGAGAGATCTCTTGATCAAAATTAAGTTTTAATGGCACGTCTCAGAGCTGTCTTGCCACATTTTAAGTGTCTGCTGTGTGGAATATACTGTGTCTGGGTTTCTTCTTTCCTATTTCCATTGAGAAATGAGTAGCAGACTGCTAATTTATTTGAATACACAGCCCTAGTCATGAATTCATAATTGCTCCCTGATCATATTTATGAATACCAATTATAAACACAGAAGATTAAGTGCCATAAGGGGATGATAATGGTCAGATTAACCCCATTGTACTTGTTTGGAGTTTTTGTTTTTATAAAATGTTTATTGGTTATTTTTTTAACTTTTCTAAGATAGTTGAGCTGCTTCAGGTACAGCTGTTTCCTATGCTGTGTTTATTTTATATCCTTATATGAAAGATGTCATGCAAACATTTGTTCTGTGCTTGTTTATTTTTACTAAGGTGATCCGCGGAGCTCTATGAATGAGTCCAGCAGTCTTCTGGGCGGATCGCCTAGACGTCAGTGTGGCCGTAAAGGATCGCCCTATCACACGGGTCAGCTTCACCCGGCAGTGCGTGTGGCTGACCTCCTACAACACATCAACCAGATGAAAACCGCAGAAGGTTACGGCTTTAAACAGGAATATGAGGTGGGTTTATTTTATTTGTTATTTTATTTACTTATTTTTTGTGAACATCATGTTGTGTGACTAACCATTTTATTTTATTTTTGCAAAATAGTGAGTACTTTGTTAAAAACTACTCACTATTTTGCAAATCTTTTTTTTTTTTTCATTTTATTTTAATTTATATATTTATTTTATTTTATTTTTGTGAAAATCATGTTGTGTGACTAACCATTTTATTTTATTTTATTTTTGCAAAATAGTGAATATTTTATTAAAATCTACTCACTATTTTGCAAATAAAAATGTTTGTTATTTTATTATTTCATTTTATTATTTCATTTTTGACCGATATGTGAAGCGAGTAACCTATTTATTTATGAATTTATTTATTTTGTGAACAACATGTTGTGTGACTAACCATTTTATTTGCTGTCTTAAAACAGTAGGAAATTGTATGAACAACATAGGATATACAATAATGACACTTTGCTACTCACTGATTAACTTTGTCAAATCCAGCCACTAATTCTTCCTCAGTTGCACTCATAGTAGCAACCTAAGATCTTGAAACACTTTGCATCCTGGCTGATGTAAACTTGTTCGCCGGCTACAAAAAATTGCACAAAACCAGTTAATTGGATAGGAACTGGTGGTTTCAGCCAGCTATTGATTTTATTTAATTTTTTGGTTTGAATTATGAATTCTAAGGTTCATGAATGGTCTGTCAGTGTGCCAAGGTTGAGACTAGTCTTCAAATACCCTTGTTTAGCTGTTGTTTGACAATGTTTTTTTTATATATAAGCATACAGAAAATCAAGTTAATGCGATATTAACAATAATAATTGTAGTGTTTCATTTATACTGTATAGCATATTTGCATATACAATCACTGAATTGCAATACTGAGTTATTGAAATAACTGCTCCTTGTAGATGCACCTGTTGCTTAAATAGCAAAAAAATGCTTTGGCACAGCTGGTTTTAAATTTTATTTCAGAGGAAACCAGATCTATTGGACTATTTCGGCTTTAATAGTATATTTTTTAAAAACATCCAGGCAAGAGGTTTTAGTCATAATAATATAAATCTTTCACAGCTGCCCACACAGATTTTCTGATTCATTTAAAGAAGTCAGAATATTCTTGGGCTTTAATGCTGCTTACAGTGCGGTCTATCTGGGAGCTGCCGTTGCGTTAGGACCTGTCAGTGCGAACAGATGTCTGGCTGGGAGATCTCCAGCCTCCAGAACTCACCGTCTGCAAGCCTTGTCAAAACAGACCTCTGCATCCAATCCCCAACACACAAACATATTAATGCAAAGATGCATGTTTATGCACAAACACATATTCCAAACTTCTTGTCACTTCTCCACAATATAACATCCTCACACTGTTGTCATGCCCTGCTGAAGTAATGCTGCTCATTCCAGCTTGAGATAGTCAAGATGTTTTTTGGAACATGGTAGCTTGTTTGCTGCTTATCTACCAGCCCAAACCAGCTTGACCTCAACCTGGTCTTACATAGCCAGACATTTGACATAAGGTCTGGTCCACATTTCAACTATTTTGATCTAGAACTGCATGTTAACGTGATATAATTTTATCAATTTCAAAGATATGATGCCACTTATCTGACAATCAATGGCAGAATATAGCTTGATAGATCAAGAAATTGCTTTCCAGTGTTGTGTGCAGTATGAATAGACAGTCGACAGGGTGCCGTCTGGTAGTCCAGCTCAACAATCATCTAGACCAGCTAAAAACGTGTAAATCCACTATCTAAAAATTGATTTTTAGCTCAGTTTTCTGGTAGGGTGCTGTGTTTGGGCAAAATTTCCAAAATGAAAGCACTTCAGTAATGTTTCTACTATTTATTACTGTATGTTGCATTTTATTACTATAATTGAACCTGTCTTAAAACAGGTTGTTCCATGTGAGATTTGAATCTCTTTTACAAGAGAGGTAAGGCCAAGATAATTAGTAGCCAGATCCAGATGGCATCAAAAATACACAATACAAAAAAAAAAAAAAACATTTAAATAAGAGTAGAAAAGAAAAATAATCATTCATACCAAAGCAATTGCAGCCAAATGTTGTTGTTTTTTATTATTATTATTATTTCACAATAGTTCTAAACTCGCTAAGAGTATTCATGCAGAATAAGGCATTAATGTGCTTTATAAGTACTAATAAACAGCCAATATGCGAGTAATATGCATGCTAATAAGCAACTAGTTAATTAATTAATTACAAATTGGTCCCTAAACTGAAGTGTTTAAACCCAAAGGTTGCGGGTTCGAGTCTTGTACCGGCAGGGATTGTAGGTGGGGGGAGTGAATGTACAGCGCTCTCTCCCACCTTCAATACCACGACTGAGGTGCCCTTGAGCAAGAACCGAAGGCTTCTTGCTCGAAGAACCGGGAGGCACCGAACCCCCAACTGCTCCCCGGGCGCCGCAGCAAAAATGGCTGCTCACTGCTCTGGGTGTGTGTTCACGGTGTTCACTGCTGTGTGTGTGCACTTTGGATGGGATAAATGCAGAGCACTAACTCCGAGTATGGGTCACCATACTTGGCCACATGTCACGTCACTTCACGTCACTTTCTTACACTTACAGTTTGCAATTTTCTTTTAAGATGGTACTAACTCTATTAGGCAATTTGAGATTTAGCTAGTGTCCTGTCCTGGAATAAAACTTTGAGGCAATGTTTAGTGTTAGTTATACTGTGTACTTTTAAGTATTTATTCATATTTTGAATTAGCTTTTATTTTTACAGTTTCAGTTTTCATGTTAAGTCTAGTAATTTTATTATGTGCTTTTAATGTTTTACTTTAGAAAAGCTTGAATATTTCTATATAGGTATATTTCGATATAGGTATAATATTTTTATTAGTTGTATGTTTATTAGTTAAATTTTTTTAGTATACTTATTTCCATTTTCTAATTTTTCGGTATGTTTTTCATCTAATATTTGCATTTAGTTTTATTACAGGTTTAGTTCAATTACTGAAAACGAGTTTTAACAGTTTTAGTTTTACTTAACAATAACAAATCTGATGTAAAGTGATAAGTATATGTTGTAAAAGAGCAGTGTGTAATGAACCTTGATGTATTGTACATTACGTATCACAGTTGTGACTTGGCCAACTTTCAGAGCAGTAAGTTTGAGCTGTTCTTCACGGACAGGTTGACATCACTCCCTCATGGACTATAGAGGAGCAGTTATTGAGATGAAAGTAGAGGTCACACAGCCCTTCAGCATTACTGCACAAAGAGCACACTACACTGCTATCTCTTTTCCTCCCTCTCTTCCTCCGTGGCTAATTTTCTCTCCTCAGAATGCGGCTTGAGCATCTCCTCTTGGTGCCGCACTTGTGCGGACTGTTGACTCTCCTCTATCTGTTGTTGTCCACAGAGCTACGAGACAAAACATCCCACCACATAATCAGAGCTCCGCCACTAGCCTGCCTCTCAGGAGCTCAGCTTGTGGACTCATTAAACTCTCCCCCCCCAGTGTGAAACAGATTGAACTCAAAAATCAATACGCACTTTCCTGGACATAGTGACACTGTGCGTGTATGTGTGTGTTTGAGGTCAGTGTCTTTGCGCTTCATAAGCGGAAAAGATTCAGAGTTTGAGAGCACACAAATGTAACGGCAGGGTTTCATAAGCTTTATTTCCCTGCGGACCGCAAGTACAGTCCATTGATCAGTGCTTATTGACAGGATCTTTAGTTTAGATAGAGTGGAAAACAGGGAGTAGAGGTCTGTCCTACAAGCAAAAAGGTGTTGCTGTAATAACCAGAAAGGCATATCTAATATATATATTCTTTTGAATATATGAATGGTTTGTTTAAAAATTGTTTATGCTTTATTTCCCTTAAAATAAATCTTTTATGTAATTTATATATAATATATATAGAAGTTCACTAGAATTGGCAGTCTAAATGCTTACACCTAGTAGATCTAGTTTGAAGTGGAAATTTATGTTGAATATTCACATTTATATTTCAGTGAATGCTAGATTTGATAGGGTTTGGGAGCGTCTGAGAATTTAAAACAAGACGAGGATGCAAAGCAGTTCAGTTAGAAGTTTTTTTGGTCTACCTGATGCTGTGCCTATGATATTGAACATTCAGTTTTCCTTTACCTGGTGTCCACTGTGTAATTTAATAATTTTTTCAGTAATATATGCAGTTGCAGATATTAAAAGAAGTGTTCACATTAAAAAAATTTGTTCACATTACCTTTTTTGTGTTCAGCAGAAGCATGAAATCATGTTTATCCTCCTTGAAAGTGGAATTGTATTAAAATTTTGCTTAATGTAATATCACAAAATGCATGTCTTTGGGTTGCAAAGTAATCCAGAACCTCTGGTCTAAATGCTGTTTATGTCAAAATTTGTCTTTAATAAAATGCATTTTAGACAAAATCTATCAGAATTATCTTATAAAACTAACAAATATGTTCTCTCTCTCTCTCTCTCTCTCTCTCTCTCTCTCTCTCTCTCTCTCTCTCTCTCTCACTCTCTGTTTCTTTATATTCAATCATATATTTGTAGAGCTTCTTTGATGGCTGGGATATCAATAAGAAGAAGGATAAAACTAAGGGAAGGCACGATACCCTGATGGGTTGTAAGTCATTTTTTCAGTCTTTGTATGCGTACAAAAATATCATGATTTCAAAGTAATGCCTTTAGACATTCTATGGATGTTAAAACTTCAGTTTCAAAATGTCTGATAATGTAACGCTTTGATGTTCCTAAAAGTAAAAGGGGGAAATTCACTTTTGGAAATTCACTAGCTGACAGCATTGTTTATTTGCACATACTGCCTCTGCTGTTCACCGTTCACCACAAAGTGTGCTCATGCGGTTGTGTTTTTGTGTTTCAGATGACCGTCACAGGGTGAAACTGCACCCGCTGCTAGGTGATCCCAACTCCGACTATATCAATGCCAATTACATCGATGTAAGTCAGCAGTCACATACTGTCTTCAGCCAGACTCACAAACATTCACACAGTTTCTGTTATTATGTGGCTTCCCTGGAGGTTATTCGATATTTGTGGACACTCTCCCTTAGCCTTGCCATACTGTATGTGGCATATCATCATATCTCTTTTGATAGAAAACTTTTCAGACCACTAGCTGTCCTTTTTGTGATGGGTGAAACTTTTGGTTGTTATTCCTTTCCTGGCATATCTGACCTCCCAAAGGATTTTAGAGCGTGGTCAGATGTGAAGCGTAGCTTACTGACATGTGTGACAAGTGTTTTTGGGTCATTTTGGGTCCGATTTCCCCTTTAATAAAGAGGCAGGTGGGCACAGATGGTCAGCCAACCTTGTCCTCTTTGAACCTGCTATTCAAAGCTTGCACCTGGTTGGACAGGACCACCTTCTCTTCATGGGACCCTCTCCACTTATGTGCTTAAATCAATAGTTCATCCGTTTACCCCCAATGTCATTCAAAACCTGTGTGACCCTCTTCTGTGGAACAGGAATGGTTGAATTTTCAAAATGATGATGAGAAAATGACTGAATTCTCATAAACTATCAATTTAAAAATGTTTAAAACAAGATGCTAATTTCCTCACCTTGACAAGGACCTTGGATACAGCAAGTGATTTGCTCGATTATGGTGTTTATTTTGAATAGAATGCTCTAAGTATATGTAGCATTGAGTGATTTCAAAGAAATATGAAGAAAAAGAATAGTCACGAATAGTGACGTATGTAGTATTTTGTCTACGTCATAATTGGCCATAATATCAGTTTATTTTCAAATACTAAGAAATGTTAGTGTTTTCAGCATGAACCAATCAATATACAGGAGCAAAACAGCATAGGCCAATTTAACAAGAATTTATTTTTTTTTTTTTCATTTTATTTTGGCCTAAAAAGCACAAAAAGTCAAGAAAAGACCAATGATGAAAGGATACTTCTTTTTACTGTTTCTGGTAAACTTGGCAGTAAGTAGAGGCTATTAGGGAACATATTAAAGTGAGTGCAGCTCTGTTGTTTAATGTGTTTACTCCTTTTCATTGCTGTCCTTTCCTTTTGAATACCTCTTGAATCAGCCCAGTAAAGCAACTTGCTTACACAGGAATAAATGGAGTAATTTAAAAGATAAGTGTGTAATTTTTTCAGTATTAAAATACTTTCCTAGTCTTTGAAAGCCATTTGTTTGTTGATTTCCCTGAGAAGTGCAAAGGCACTTTAAAAGCATTCTGTTGTTTGAACCAGCCCCACATAGCAACACTGACTCAACCAATGGAGTGAGTTTGGGGGTGGGGCTATCAGTTTGTCCAACCAATGGCAGAGGGAAGGAGTGTCCCGGAAGCCTGTTTGAAATAAATTGTTATTTTTCAATTGTGTTTGATGATGCTAGAGGCAGAAAAAATAACACACTTCACACTTTGAGTTTAGTGTGCAAAGATTTGCCCACCTGCACATCCAAAATATATGCCTCCATTTCAAGTGTCTGTCCCCTGGCGTAGAGCTTAGCTGGCTAATACAAGTCTCTCTCTTTCTTTCTTTCTTCTAATTCTCTCTCTTTCTGTCTGTGATCTGTTAATCCTCTAGCTCTCTTCAGCCTCTCATTAACTAGAGTCTGTCTTGTCTTTTTCTACCCCACTTCCCCACCTCTTCGACTCTTGGACCCTGTAGATTCGGATAAACAGGGAAGTAAGTATGAGAATATTATTCAAAAAAATTATTAGTTGATTTGAAAGTTATTATAAAAAGTTTTGAGTAAATAGAGACCTTTTGCTTTAACCTTTTTGATGTCTTGAGTGATTTTATGCAGTGCGTTTATAGCATTGTTTCAGAGTTTTTAGTTGCTAAGTGTTGTAAAGTGTTTTGTCAAGCCTTTTTTATTATTTTTGTTTTGTTTTTCTCCCTTTAATGAGCTTCTGTGTCCTGTGAACTTTCCTTCTATTTTCAAATCAGCCATTAAATATATAACTTTAAGCATGATGTATTGTATCATCATCTTGAAAAATCGCTGCATTTCAGCTACATTGGGATAGTTGCAGCTTTGGGCTTGTGATACGATCATCATGGATTTGATGGCAGATAGGGCGACCCATGAACTGAATCATTACTGAGATCCCCTATTGCTATCGTGCCCTTGAGCAAAACACGTACCTCATATTTTCTCCAGCGGGATGGTCCCTGTTAGTGTGCTATAAATCCACTTGCACTGCTGCGTAATGTACTACACCTTCATTTTTTTTTTTTCCCAAGCCTATATGGCTGCTCTTTCCTCTTTGACCATGGTTATTTTTCTAATAAAAGCCAGATTTTGAGATCTATATAGTATGGTTTCCACCATGGGGCAAAAACATACCTTATAAATAAGTATGTAAGGTAAAACGTAAGGCAATTGCGACATTTTGTCTTACTTTTTTTTCGCAATTCTGACTTTTTTCTCAAAATTGTGAGATATTAACGCAGAATTGCAAAATATAAACTGGGAGTTTATCACTTGCAGTTTGAGAAGAAAAATCAGAATTAATCTGAATATAAAAAGTCGCAATTACTTATTATTTGTTACTCTGTGGTGGAAACAAAAAACTAAATTGCAAGATGTAAACTCAGAAGTCAAACAAAAAGGTCATTGGTAATGTATGAACTTAATTATCCATTTTTCACACATTTGAAAAATGTAAAAAAAAGACTTTAAAGTTGGAAATCAATAATAATTGCATATTTTATTTTATAGGCTATTTAAAAAAAAAAAAAGAAATAATTATGTGTATACAAATGTATTTGTATATACTAAAATATGCAAATGTACATTTATTTTAAAATGTTTTTGGGTTTTTACATCTAACATATTCAATATAATATTTGAATAATTTGCTTTTTTACTAATGATGACATTAAATCCATTTTTTATTATTAATCTGTTGTTTTATAATATACTTTTTATCACACAATATAATTGAGTCTTTATATATATGAAAATATGTACAGTAGCTGCCTTTATGTAGGGAATCACTGACAATGGGATCATCATATTTGAGGGTCCCTGACATTAAAAAAAAAGTTTGAAGACCCCTGGTATAAGTAATAGAAAATCATGCTACTACTGAATCAGCAGAACAAAGCTGTTTTGGACCAGTTATCTTCCCAATGTTTTCCTTGCGTCCCTTGTATTCTCCAAACCCCATAGACTGATGAATCCTTTCAGTGTGGAACAAGCATCCCCCACAATTTCTTTTTCCATCTACAGTGTATCTGTTTCTATGTTTGTTTGTACAGTGTGCAAGAAATAGCTTGGCCCAATCTAAAATGTAGTGGGCGTCTGCAGTGTTCTAAATGGAGCAGCAAATGCTCAGCAACAATGAAGAACATGTCTCTATTATTCCGCTAATGTCTGTTTAATGAAAACAGATCCACTTTTTGGGAGCATCCCCAGGTAGTTCTTTGAAAAGGCTTAGCTTTGATGAATAAATTGCATGTTTTTAGATGTTCCTAGAGTTTCTTTCTCCCTGTACATTCCAAGCATGAGCTGATAGAGGAATCGTGTAGGGAGCTCATGTCCTCCATGATGAGTTTTATGTTTGGGCAATTGAGTATTACTTTTGTAGCAGGGTGCCTTTTTGTTTGTTTGCTCTTTGTGCCTCAGACTTATTAATAGTGTTAGAGAGTAACAAACACTATTAGCTATCCTACTAACTTGACTTACATTTTTTAATTTGCTTTTAGTTTTCAAACTAAAGTAGCTTTTGAGTTATGCAGTAAGTTATGTTGTCAATACTGAAACAGGCTTTCCTTAGAATTTCTTAAGTAGTGTTGGGAGGTCAGATTCTTTTTAGTCAATCAGTTTGAATGATTCATGTAGGTTTTGCTTTGTTTGGTTTGTTGTAGTGTAGATTTGTGTGCTCAGAGCTGGTGTCATCCTAATTTAGACCCTCATTTTCTGTTCTAGGAAATAAACTTGATGAAACTACTCGCCATGTTGAGATGACCCTTATTTTATCTCAGTAACCCACAGATTATCAAACCGTTCTGCTCGCAGTCCAAATAAATTTTGGTTCATTTCAAATAGTAGCTTTCAAAGCAGTCATTTGAACTGGACATCTAGAACTAAAGACCTTGGATCTCTGAAGAGCATTTGTACTCTAAAGAGGAGTGAGATACACACAAGTGATGTTTCTAGGACACAAATGGCTTACACAGCACGTCACCTCTCTTTCTTTCTTTTTAGGGTTACCATCGATCCAACCACTTCATCGCCACTCAGGGTGAGTATCTTTGTCAGGACAAGACTTGTGGATGGATAGATGGATGTGTGTGTTTATATGGTTCAGTCTGGCAGTGTCCAGTCCCAGGAGGGAGAGCCTCTTTCCTCTCTTCAGTCTGAGCCTTTGGGTTTGTGTGTGTATGAGACTGAAACCTTCAGAACACAGACATCCTCCAGATGGAATCTAATGAGTTCTGATCCAGGAAATTATAAAGGTGTGTGAATAGAGATGGTGCTGCAGAGTCAGGATTACCACCTGCTGTCTTCTTACCCGAGATCCCCATCAAAACCACCAGCACAATGACTGCAGGACCTTGGCTCATCTCAGACAGATTGTGTGTACTGCAAAATCATTTTCCTAATATTTTTGTCTTGTTTTTGAATAATAGAACATCTGTAGAAAATCATTTGACCTTTACATCCTTTATTTGTTTTTATGTCATTTGCAATTTTTCTCTCCATTCAACCATAAACATCACTCAATTTATATTGAAAACAAGAAAAAGCAGTTTGCCAAAGGGGTAAGAAAAATACAAATTAATTCAATATGAAACCAAATATTAAATTCTTATGCAATTTTGCTTATTTATTTTTAAGGAAAGGTTTAAGGATATTTTTTACTGGAAAACAAGACAAAAATACAGCTCAATGAATTCTTTTTGCAGAGTGAGGACATTCAGGGACATCCTTGATTTGAAAAATTTTATGGGACAGATTTACTAACAGCACGCACCTGTGTAAACCCTCTTTTTGGCATTAAAACCCTCTTTTAGCAACAGTAACCAAGGAGGGCGGACTTTTGCGAAGGGTCAATTTCCTCGGACGCTGCATTGGTCGTGATTTGACGTCATGCTCTGCAGCGTCTTTTTAAAAACCGAAATTCAACACATAACAAATAATAATACATCTCAAATGTAAAAACATACAATCTACTCCACTGTCCTGCAGCGCTGCAATTTTAAATGTATGTTCTTTTAAAATTCAGCTAAGAGGTCATGCTGTGACGTATCAATCTGCTGTTGGTCACACGGTTTCACGTGATGCTAATTCGCAGGTCAGAGTTCACCAAGCTTGAACTTTGGAGCGCAGCGAAATGCGAAACTTTTCACACGGGCTTGCGTTTCCAGTCTGACACATTCGCATGCGTATGAATACAAGTCAATGGAAAGAAAAGTGCAATGTGACCGCCCCTTTACTCATTTTGTGCCTGTGTTGTTAGTAGATTACCCACACCTGATTATCATCAGTTCTGCTTGTCTGCGACCCTACGCTAATTTTTGCCCCACTTGGTCGATTGTGTTGGTCTTTATAGAAATGCATTCGCTCTGTTTAGTAAATCTGGTGCCATATTTTAAGTTTTATTGTTTATATATCTTGTAAGTAGTTGTTTAATAAGTAGAATGATGTACAGTCTGTGTGGTCAAAGACAGTAAAACAGTGAAAGACCATAAAACCTGAAATCACCTACATTTGGATACCAGCCAACTGTCCTTACTAGGAAACCGACTTCATGAATATACTAAACAATGTATTACTTTCATTCTCAGCATGCAAAAAGCTTTCTGTAGCTTAGTTTCCAAAGGATAGAAGTCATTGGAAATTCCCCCACCATGACAGAAGAAACAATGTGTGTGCATGTGAGAGAAACATCAGACATGAACCGCCCTCTATCCCTTTCACAGCTCTACTGAAACAAGGTCACCCTCATCTCTCATCGTTTCAGATCTCCCATAAATAAATCATTACATGTTTGTGGTGTGTCTGTCTTTTCCCCCTAATTGAATTTCGAGGCAGACTCAATTGATGGGAGAAATTAGCTTTTTCTATCAGAGAGCCACATCCTGCTGAGGTTAAAAACGGTTCCATTCACCAGAAATGTCTGCTATTGAATTACCCTGTGTGAGGCTCTGGATTACTGAACTGCCTTATAACATGCAATGACACTTGGTAAATTAAACCCGCCGTCTGGAGCACTGGCTGCCATTCATTGAATATGTGTGTGTGTTTGTGTGTGTGTTTGTCTGTTTGCAGGGCCCAAGCAGGAGACAGTGTATGATTTTTGGAGGATGGTTTGGCAAGAAAACTGCTTTAGTATCGTCATGATCACCAAGCTAGTGGAGGTGGGCAGGGTATGTTCTAGATCCTTCCTCATCTGCACACTAACCCATCAACTAAAGACCCATTCTCAACCATGCACATTTCATTCAGTCATCACCTCAAAATCTTTGTGTATTTGTGGGTCTGTTACACTTATCTGTGCTTGGAAATTATATGTAAATTGATTTAACGTCAGCATTTTCCATTCATCAGTCATGGTCACTTTTTCTTGATAAAACCATAGTTTTACTTTTTATGTTTTTATATGTGATTACTGTATGCACAAAAATGACCATTTAACACCATGAAAATACAGGGTTTGTTTGGACTTTGGAGTATCATGTAAATACCATGCTCTATGAATATGATAAACATCCTTACATGATATTCGGTTATGATAGTGCTCTGATATATAGCATGGTTACCATAATGATTACCATATTCATGTTCCATAAAATGTACAATGCCATGTAGGGAAGCACTTATGCATATGTCAGTTACATACAGGTACATATATCAGCTGATTTAGAGTTTTTTTTATATTTGTTTATTTATTGTATTGGTGGATATTTCATATTTAAAAGTGCATTCTCCTTTCTACTATTTTACATGGTAGCCATCATGTAACACTCAGTCTTTCAAAACAATAATAATTTAATAGCACATTTAAATGCAATCTTCAGCGAATCCCAAAATGAATATCTATTTTCCCACTGTACATTATAATGCCTAAATTCACTTGTACAGTAGCATTTATGATTCATTTTAGTTTTATTTCTAATTTATTTAGACAAAATGGTGTATAATTTTAATATCTACTATTATATGAAAATAATAACTCCGGTCCAAAAATCCATGGTACTACTACATGATACTTTATTGTTACTGCATTCAATATGGTGTATATTAAAGTCCCGTGATATTATCATCGGATACCATCACTGTACCACCACAATACATTTGCTACGTGCAGTACAGTACACTTATGACGTGCTCGCATTATATAAATAAGTCTGTTTTGCTGTCAAACTAAAAATTAGATTTGAAGTATCATAATTCCCACACTCATGTAATGCATTCTGCTTCCTTGTTTTGTGGCCCACTCGTTAAACCACCTCCTTTTCTTCCTCCGACATAATTTCCTCTTTCATTTTCCTCTCCACACCCCGCATCAGCTCCTTCAGTGCTTCGGAGACAGCGTCTGCTGCCAACAGTCCTCTTAATGGCCCATCCCTGCCTTATGCTCTTATGAAATTGGGGCTCTATTATGAAAAATACGCTTTCCCTTTTTATCATAAAAGCTGTGAACAGCAGGGATAAATGGATGATGGCTTAGGTCCGACAGCAAATCTAACAGTTCGTGTAACGGTAATAGGCGTGTAGAAATAAACCTGGTTTACAGTACACAAGGAGGGAGTTCTTTCACTTCATCAGTTTGATTGCTGTAAAGCTTTAACTCAGAGACCAGAAGATTTAAGATATAAGTATAATATATCAAATTAAAATATGTTGTTTTTAGCTTTTGGCAATGTATACATCTCTGTTTATGTATTTGCTTTGAAATATCTTAAGATGATTAAAAATAATCAAGGGTGTTTTTCTGTGTAGCATTGAATTAAATTTATTCAAAGAATTATATTTAATATTTTTCATTTGTATGCACTAGTATTCACCTTTGTTGGAGAGACTTTGGGGACAGTGAGGTTATGATCAGGTAATGGATGAGTAAACCCCCCTGGGTGCCGGTCAGAGCACCAATAATGAAGAGACAGGTGATTAGCTTTCTATGGTGTATTAGTAGAGAAAAGGAAGGGCCACAGAGGTACAATCAAAGGTGTAGATAGTCTGCAAAATAAGTACAATAAAGAAATGAATAAGCTAAAGATATAGATAAACAATAGTAATATTTACGGTTACATAGTGAAACCAAAGCATTCATAATTCACATAATTGGCATTTCTCTACTGAACATACAGTTAAATGAAGGGAAACAAGGTATTTCACAGAAAACTACAAGTCATGAGTGATCATTTGTCCCGATGAACATAAAGTTCCCATATATGGATAGAATCGTGGCGCATCGGAGTAACATTTGCATAAACAGAACGCTAATCACTCGTTCGGTATTGTAGCAGCTTAACAGAACAACATCACGTCATTAAGACATCATAACACTGATTTACATCTTGATAAAGTATGAATAATTACCCGTTAAGTAATATTCCCGATCTGGATGCTACAGAACGATCGTTACAGGACATGTCTGGGCATGTTCATATGGTACATATAACACTGTAGCGATCACTGTAAACACAAATATAAATAAAATAGGCTTACTTTGTGGTCAGTGACTACCACCTTGATATTAAATCTGCAAAAATCCCCACGAACAAAGTGAAAGTATCATCCTTGCAGCTGACGGCTCGGACAGATCACTCAAACACTGCAAACAGCGGCAGTTCATCAAACTACACTGCCCTCTACCGAAGTACTATTACGACTCCAGTTTCATAATAAAGGTCCCTCTTACAGGAGCCTTTAATACAACCTTCATGTATTTATTTTTTTTAAAACATTCTAATATATGTCCAAGTTTTTTAATCAGTTAGTGCGCAGACAGTTTGAACTGATACAGGAAAATCAATCAAATTTTCTGAATTGAATACCATTTTTGCTCCTGACGTTTTAATCAGAGAAGCTGTCGAAACGTCTGTCTTAATACTTTCATACTAACACAAGTAAGAATCATGAAACTAATGTAATGACATGCTTTTTAGGAAACGTAATTGTGCATTAAAATCTTCTCATTATTCATGATGTTGTTTAATTTTATATTGCCAGCAAAACCATTTGAAATATACAGTATCATATATCACCCAACGCTAGTATCATGCTGCTGTGGACCTCTAATGTTTTCTAACCTGAGTTTGTTTATCCTGGTTTGTCTTTTAGGTGAAGTGCTGCAAGTATTGGCCAGATGAGTCAGAGATGTACGGAGACATTAAGATCACACTGCTGAAGACTGAAACTCTGGCGGAGTACACAGTGCGAACTTTTGCCCTGGAGCGGGTATGAAATGATTTCTCTTCCTCTAGAGACAGGACAGGAACTGATGGGGAAAATAAGGGTTGCATCTCCCGCATGAGCACCACACCACCTCTAAGCCACGGCTCCAACACGCTCTTATTTCTCACACATCAATGTGATTTGCTCTGCCCTTTGATATGATGCAATCTATTATGCACGAGTTAATGTACAGTCAGCAGGCCATTATCACAAAATAAATGCAGACAGGGTGATCAGGTCTTGTATCCCCAATCTTGTATCATGTTACTCCACATTACCCTGCTTATTACATGGCTACTTAACAAATAAATAAATAAATAAAATGGACATGAATTATTGATTTGAGTTGAAATAATTTTGTTATGTGAGAGTGATATGAGAGAAGTGAAACTATCACAGCCATGTCGGAAATCAATTTTCTTATATCATCTATACAGTTTAGCATCATGATACAAAACGATTTGATCTCTGACTGCCATGATTGATCAATTAGAATCAAGTATTTCTGGCCCTTTAATAATCTCTCATATGTGCTGCATTGAGCAGTGCAGTGATTTTATGTAATCTGGATTAAGAAAATTAAAAAAAATTAAAAAAATTTAATACTTGTAATTAGACTGTATTGTGTTTTAAAATGTTCATTTGTTTTATAATCAGTTACTTTTTTATTGATAACATGATTAACTTAATATTCACAAAATGGCAGTAAATTCATTGATTCTTCCTAATTTATCTTTTTTATATTTTAAATGTTCCTTTCTAAAAAAAAAAGCTTATTGCTTATGTATTGCACACAAATACCAGCCACTAGTCAGGCAAATATAATTACATGTAAAATTGAGAGGCAATAAAGAATAAAATAAATGAAAAATAAATAAAATATAAAATTAATTATTGAATCTTTAGTTAATGTTTTATTTTGCTTGTTTTAATTTTTTTTTTTTTTATTTAACATTTTTATGATTAATTATTAGCTTTTCACGGACCCCCTGTAGACCCCCTTCATAAACCCCAGTTTGGGAAATCTTGACGTAATGTTTAATGCATTTAATGCACTTCATGTTGTTGATGGTTTCAGATTATCCTATTCAAATCAATGATAAATGAGTTAGGTCAAAAGTAATCAAAAAGTACCTAAAATGTGGAATGTGATAGATTACGTTACTAACTATAATTTTCATAATGTAATTTGTATTCAGTAATGAACTACAATTTTTAAGTAATCTACTGAGCACTGCTGATACGTATTGGTTCTTTGCTAGGATTAGGGTAGAACGTGAATTGTGTGTGTGTATGTGTGCACCCATTTTGCGTGTGTGTGTGTGTGTGTTAGTGGAGAATTTGGAGTGACAGCTCTTTAAATGAAATGGAGAGAAGTGCCTGATACCCAGCAGAGGCCCACCGATCTGTCTGTTCCAGGATTAGAGCTGCCTCATCTCAGAACGCTTTATGGCGGGCACATTAACTAAAGCATCTCTTTCTCTCTTCTCTCATTATCTCTCCTTCTCTCTGATACAATGGGCTAAATGTGGGTGCGTTTTCTGAAATTAGCTCAATTTAACCTCCTCCACCTCACACCCCTGTCTTCTCTTATCGTCCTCTTTGCTGCCCTGTGGAGGCGCAGTTCTGTCGACAGCCTTTGATGTGAGTTTTGCGCTTGCCGCAGCCCTGTCAATCAAACACAGGCTGTGGGTGGAGGATGTGCTTGTGTGTGTTTGTCGAATGTTGGGGAAGGTTTCTCGGCGTAACCATCAGACAGGCTTTCGGCTGAAGCTTTCTTTGTGTGTATTTAAACAGACGAGCAATCGGGATGTTGTAATAGGAAGTCTCTTAGTGACCTGTCGGGTAGACGTACGCACCTCCCCTGAGTGGGACCACAGAGCTGGGTGTCTATTTCACTGGCGCTTTTGCTAATTCATCTGAGTTTGCCTTGGTGTCTTTGAGCCATGAGGAATACAAACTCCAGAAGTGAGTCACCTCAGATTTTTGAGCCAATAGGAATTTTCTTTTTCATCCAATAAAAAACAGTCCAGCTGCGATTTGTCTCGATTAAATAAAAATAGTAGTAATATGTAAAAAATTGCGCATATCTATGTTGGAGCCGTGGTGTGGTGGTATGCCCTTACACATTGAGCCAAGATGCTTATATGGAAAATTGGGGTTTAAGTTTCTTATATCTCAATGTTCCTCTAATTAAAATGGCAAAAAAAACAATTATATTAATTTTGATGCGTATTAATTATAATTTAATTTTTGGAGCCTGTTTGTCTTTCAGAGAGGATACTCCGCCAAACACGAAGTATGTCAGTTTCACTTTACATCATGGCCTGAGCATGGAGTCCCATACCACGCCACGGGTCTGTTAGCCTTCATCCGGCGGGTCAAATCCTCCACGCCACTTGACACAGGGCCTGTGGTGGTCCACTGCAGGTATGGAGCTCTGTATTTCATCATATTAGAACTGCTAATGTTTTTCAGCCAGAAATGTATATGTCCAAAATCTCACCAATGCTGCATTTATTTGATCAAAAAACAATGATATTGTGAAACATTATTACAATATAAAACAACTGTTTTCTGTTTGAATATATTTTTAAATCATTGAAAACAGCTGTGCTGTGTAATATTTTTGTGTAAAGTGTAATACTTTTTTAGGATTCTTTGATGAATAGAAAGTTTAAAAGAACAGCATTCATTTGAAATAGAAATATTTTGTAATATTATAAATGTCTTTGCTGACTCTTTTGATCAATCTGTTGCATACTCCCTGAATAGAACTACTTAGTTACTTACCCTAATTACTTAAAACTTACTTACCACAAACTTTTAAAAGGTATCTGTGTGAATATATACCTGAATATATACATTTATATAATATAAAACCAAACAAACTTTTTGTGAAATGTTTTGCTTGAAAAATACTCCAAGGAACTCAAAGAATGGTGAGAATATCATGTTACATGTTCAAAAACCTGATGTGACCATGATACATGTCCAAAAATCTGGTTTTACCATTGTACAGTGTCAAAAACCCATGGTAAACCTTTTTGGTACTTTTTGATAGTTTTTACTGTCAGCTGTTACATGGGACTTTGAATGTTCACATCCTTCCATGTCAAACAGGACTTATGGCAGCTGACTAGCCTGGACTTTAGTTCATGTCCATCAAAGAAAAAGCAAATGTCATCATTTTTGAGGAACATCTTGCTATCTGTCTTTCGTTCTTCCTCTTCAGTGTGGGAGCAGGCAGGACAGGCTGCTATATCGTGCTGGATGTAATGCTGGACATGGCGGAGTGTGAAGGAGTGGTGGACATCTACAACTGTGTGAAGACCCTCTGCTCTCGCCGCATCAACATGATCCAAACAGAGGTGCAGACTCTCACGTTTCCCCATAATTCCCTTTAACCAGCTATTGCAGGAGACTTATTACATGGCATCCCTTGTATTTGCATAGTCATAAGCTCTGTAGGAGTCGCTATGAATATTCAGAATCTTTAGCCTTGAAATTCAGTGAAAAGTGTGTATTGATAGATGTGAAATGCAAATAATAATCTCTGTTGCATCTGTCCGCTCTGCGCAGGCAAGTGCCTTTGCTTAGATGTTCCAAAATTTGCATATCCAAACTTTATTATGTAAATCCCCCAGTCATTTGACTGTTTAAAACATTAGCAATTATTTACCAGCTGCTTTAATTAAATCCATCCGCGAGGGTTTTATGTAGAGCGATGTATACACACGCAGTGCACTTTGAAACATGCCACAAGTTTTGTTTACATCGAAACATTGGGGTTAAACAAATTCTGTTATCGGTGTCTGTTTACTCTGTATTGTCCTTTGTCTTGCATGCATTCTCACTTCTCCTCCAGTCCTCTCTTTTCTGTTCTCCTCATTCCTTTTCTAATCTTTTCTTACTTGATCCATCAATGGTGTTTTCTCAGAAGGAAGACAGTGCCTCCTCCAAAAATCCAGTTGATAAAATTAAACTAAATCAAAGCAAATATTCTGAAATAATAGATGAAATTTGTTGTAACACCAGCAGAAAGGGCTTCCAAGGGAGGCCTCGCTTGAGCTCATTTCGAAATAAAGGTAAAAGAAAATCACAGAAAGCAGTGCCTCCTTGTCATTGTGATTGGCTGATTAATGCATTAATGTCTTGCCTATCATGCACACAACAGCAAATTCACATGAATGTGTTAAACTTGGATTAATAACACCCACTCAGACATTATCACTTTCAGTCAAGTCTGAATCAAAATTTGAAGTCTACAGCAAGCCATGTGTAGTTATGTCTTTGCTTTCTTTCTCTATATAACAGGAGCAGTACATATTTATTCACGATGCCATCCTGGAGGCGTGTCTGTGTGGGGAGACGGCCATCCCGGTAAACGAGTTCGCCCTGGCTTACAAAGAGATGCTGAGGGTGGATTCTCAGAGCAACTCTTCACAGCTACGAGAGGAGTTCCAGGTCTTTGTCAACAATAATATCGTTTTATAATTTCTCCCCAAGGTCTTGATCGTGAGATCTCATTGGTGCAAAATCCCACATGATTGTACATTTAAACATTGGTTTTGGCTGAGTCACATTGTGTAGCAGTTTCACAGTCAGTGGTGGCAGACAAATTGCTTGTCACCTGAAATGTCCTACATGACACTAGTCTTAGAGACAGCTGCCTTACTCACAGGTTGTACAGCCTATTCTTCAATATCAGTGAAACATGCTATACAGTCAATGTTGAACAGAAATGTTTAGGGACCTTGTTATAAATGAACATCACTTGCTATAGCATAATTATAATACTCTTGGGGTCTGTTTTTGCAGCTTAGTTTCAAAAAATGAACTGAACAGGGCAGAAAGTTTGTGCTTTGAAAGTTATAGTTGTTTACATCATAAATTAAACTCTTATTTCCAAAGATCAAGGGAAATTACATTTTTCAGATTCCTCTACACATAAATAACTTTCTATGAAGTTCTATAAATGCTAAATCTGTTCAATGGAGCGAAGCAAGGTTGACGGCAGCAGTCAAACAAGACTCTGAGCTGTACAAAGTGTGACATACCTGCTGCCCGTAGATTAATGATCAATACTGTTGAATAAATGTATTTTGAGTGTGGCTAGACATTCAGAGGACATTTAAATAATCTTTTCGACTCCAACGAGACTCCTACACACATAACAATGAGAAAACTGAGATGTAATAAACGACAGAATGTTGGAACTCTTTCAGAACTCAGAATCTTTCATTTCATTTGTATATACTGGAAACGTGGGCATCTTGAGTGAAGGTTCCTCACTAGGAGGCTATTGATTACAGAAGTTTAATTGTTTTCGTAGACTTTCGAACATAAACAATAAAGGTAGTAGTGCAAAATGTGTAATAGAAGAAATACCTTGCATTCCGTGTCCATTGGGAGTAGTAGTCAGCCGTGTTTCACTTTGCCACAGATCCTCAGGGAGCGAAAGGCCAGTGAAGGTTATTTAATAAAAGATGTACCACTCCACATGTGTTGCAGAGAATACTTTTATTGATTTAGGGGAAGGCAGGCAGAACTATCCTTGCTCTCCTGCACTTACCTCTACATTGCAGTTTTCTGACTTTACTTTCCAGGTGAATTATAATGCATTCATTATAGGCAATTTTTTACTGAGGCTTTGAAACAGAAGTACAGGAAGGCAGCTTTGGATTACAGAGTGTAGTTTGTGCTATAGTTATTAGGTGCTGATGGAGGATATTATAATGGGTTTTGTATATAAACATTTTTGATGTTTACGTAGACATAATCTTTTCTGTTGAATTGTTGTTAGAGGTTCCTTTGGCTGTAGTGGAGAACTGCAAATCTCTTTACCTTTTGGTTTGCACAGGCAGAACAGTGCATGTGTCATGGTTTTTCCTGACTTTGATGAGCTCATAGAAACTACATTTATTGTGTATGATGTTGGCCTGATTTGTTTGGTACTGTAATAGCAGTAATAGTTTAGACGAGTGAGATTTAACGCATGTTAAAGCTGGTTTCAAAAGCTGTTGTTGGAGTTGGGGCACATCTGCGGTCACCAGATGCACAATACTATTAGTGCATAATGGAAATCTTCATAATCACCAGTGTGCCAACAGAAAACATTTTTGTTTTCTACTCAGCTTTCTTTCTTTCTTTCTTTCTTTCTTTAGCTTTTTCATTTTGTTTTTATGAATTTTCCTGCTTTGTGTGGAAAAACAAAGAACTTTACATAATTGCATCTTAATTTCTCCCAATTGTGACTTTATATTTCACAGTGTTACTTTATTTCTTTTAAATACTTTGTCTCTAAATGTGACTTTGTATCTCACAGTTGTCTTAATTTCTGATTTTAAACTTTATCTCACTTATTTATTAGTTTATTAGTGTTTTAGTTTGTTTGTTTGTTTACTCTGAAGCAGAAAAGGCTTCCGTAGTTTGTGTGCTGATTTTTTTTTAGTGTTTTTTTTCTGCTTTTCTTCTCTCTTCTCATGAAGAATCAAATTTAGTCTTTTGAGATAAAATGGCTTGATGTGCTTCCAGAACCCAACGTCTTCCCCAGTCCAAAACAGCATTTGAAACCGTGTTATTTTAGTATTATTTATATACTATATACTATATATTATATAGTTTGTTTTCATTTAAGTTTGTTTTTGTAATTATATGTGATTGTCATTTTAAATGACATTTATTTATTTTATTTTAGTTGCCAACATCTCTTTAAGTTTTTTTTTTTTTCAGTTTTTCATCTCAAATTTTGTGTAGTTTTTTGTTTATTTGTTTGTTTGTTTGTTTTTTTCATTTTACAAATTACTAAACATTTTCAATTACAAAAAATGTAATAGTTTTATCTTTAGGCAAAACAAATTATATCAACACTGATTTGAAATGTCTCGTTCTAAACTTCTGCAACTTTTTTATGTCATATACTTTAGATCATCACATCATCATCATAATAATAAACCCACTGACCTCACTGAAGTTGTCAATGAAGTCTCAAGCAAAGAAAAAAATACTACAAATCCTATCCTCAACATCAATGTTCCATTTCTGTTTCCCTCAGACGCTAAACTCGGTGACTCCTCATCTGGATGTCGAGGAGTGCAGCATTGCCTTGTTACCACGAAACCGCGAGAAGAACCGCAGCATGGACGTTCTCCCACCTGACAGGGCCCTCGCCTTCCTGGTGACCACTGAGGGAGAAAGTAACAACTACATCAACGCGGCACTGATGGATAGTTTCCACCGGCCTGCTGCCTTCATTGTAACCCCTCACCCGCTGCCCGGCACGACCTCTGACTTCTGGAGGCTGGTGTTTGACTACGGCTGCACCTCTGTGGTCATGCTGAATCAGCTGAACCAATCAAACTCTGCCTGGGTAAGTGAAAGCACCAGAAGTTCCACTGAAAACAGCACCCAAGAGGACTTTGGGAGTTTTTCTTCAAAATACATCTTTATCGGTTGCCTTTTTGCATTCACATCATCACATGTCCTTTGAAGTCGTTTAAGCTATTTTGTCCCCAGCTTCTCTTAATCTCCCTGTGAAATGTTCTATATTCATAAGTGTATAGTCAAGTCTCATTTACATACAACTTTCCTTTGAGTTTACGGAGTGGCGTTCCAGTGCTCTTCTCGATCACGGCTCTCTGAAAACCCTGACGTGCGCTAACATGCCGGCAGTTACTCAGTGTCACTCTCGCAGTCGATCTGTTCCTTTTTCTCTCTGTGGTGGATTAACGTCTCTCCCTCTTATTCATTCACATGATTGCTCTCTGCAGTCCATAAGTATTAATATTTATCACCTCACTTGCTTTGCTGTCATTAATGTTCTTTCTCTTTCTCGCCTATTCTCACCGTCCCCGCCCGTTTAATTTCAGCTCAGTTCGGTTTAGTAAGGCTACAGCGTTTCATATGTATGGATGGTGAATTCTAAGGCTGCAACATATTCCAAATACAGATGAGTCAAAATATTGATTCAATTGAATCTCATGTATTTCAGATCACGTTCTTAGATTGAAATCCTTATGGGTTTTTAGATTATGGGGGTTGGCCTCTGACTGTCCTGCTTGATCATCATAATTTCAGCAGCTACACTGTAAAATATACTTACTTCAGAAGCCTCTTCTTTCCAGAACCCATTTCCCTCTAGAACCTTTTTCATTTTCCCATGCAGAACTTTTTTTCCTCAGAACTCCAGTTCCCTTCAGAACACCTGTCACTGTAGAATCCTTTTCCCTTCAGTAGATTTTTTTCGTTCTAGATTCTTTCAAAATCCCACTCCTGCATAAACCCCTGTTCCTCAATCCCATTCCATCTAAAAAACACTTTCCACTTTTTTCTTTTCAGAACCACTTTTCCTCCAGAATCCATTTCCCTTTTCTTCCCTTACCAAAAAGTAGTATACTTTAAGTTTATTTTAGTAAGTATACTTAAGTAAAGTTCAAGTATATTTTTAAGTATACTTTATGTAGTAAGTATACAAATATCAGTGTACTAGTAGTATACTTGTAAGTGTACTATTTCAATACTCCTTGGGACTAAATTAGCCCACTTTCTAGTATATAAAAGTATACTTTTAAGTATAACAGTAGTAAACTTTAAGTACACAACTAGTTTACAACA